TCCAAGGAGCGGGAATTGGGAGTGAGAGGGAATGTGGTAAGGAACTGTTGATTTTAAAGTAAGGATCAGGGCCGGCCTGTGGTTCACTTGGGAGAGCGTGGGCTGACAACACCACGTCAAGGGTTAAGATCCCCTTACCAGTCATCTTTTAAAAATAAAAATTAAAAAAATAGAGTAGGGATCAGATTTATTTATTTATTCATTTATTTATTTTACTTTTTTTTTTTTTTTGGCAGCTGGCAAACCATTAAGGCTTAATTTGACCAGTGTACTGTACGAGTATAACTTCTCATGACTTCAGAGTTCAGGACAGTAGGCAGAGCACTGAGAAGTTCACCAGCCTGCACCATCTTCCACCTGTTCTGCCTTTTGTTTATTTGCTTGTGCCTGCCAGAGCAACCAGCCAGAACGAAAATGCCAGCCAGCTGTCCTAGGCATTGTCTAAGCAGAGAATTCCTTGTTGCCACCTACCTCCCCATTGCCTTTTCTTCTCTCTCTCTTTCCCTGGGAGCTTGCAAGGTACTTCTGGGTGGGAGCGCCCAACAACCTCCAACTCTTGTCAGTTTGAAGTCCTTTCAACAGAAATCCAAGCTGGAGGGCCTATTTTCATAGATTCAACTCCTAACACAGCAGGGGCCACGTGGAAGCCTTGGGTTTTTTTTTTTTAATCTCCCCTTCTCTCCTCTTTTAGAGGGGCAGGATGGTGTCATCACCATTAAGAGTGCTAGCTCCAAAGTCAGACTTGTAGCTTGGCCTCTTTGTTGCAGTATCGCCTCCAACAAGTTATTTAACCTCTCTGAGCTTCAGCGTGCCAGCTGTAAAATGAAGAGTATAACAATACATAAGGTTATTATGAGGACTTAGACTAATGCAAACTAATGCAGGGGCTGGCCATTTAGTTCAGTTGGTTGGAATTATAACACCAAAATCAAGGGTTTGGATCCTCATACCAGCAAGTAGCCAAATAAAGAAAGAAAGAAAGAAGAAGAAGAATGCATTTAGGTGTGTAGCATGGTTCTTGATAGACTAAGTGTCTGGGAAATGGGAGCTATTGACCACCAGCTGTATACTTGGAATCATCTCCCACCCATCCCTGCCATCCCAGTCTCCAGGATGATGCTGGGAGCTCCGTCTGGAGCTGAGATACTGCCCACCGACACCTGGTGCCTCATGTTTCCCATTTACATTCACCTCCACCCCAGCCAGTTTCCTCTTTCCTCTTTTGGGATCAGCTTTCATCTTGGCCTCTGGCCAAAGGGATCATAATCTCTCTTGCCTTTATCTGGAATCTCAGAACCCCTGCCAATTGGTGGTTTGGAAACACAATGGGATTGGGTTTCTGGCTCCAAAGAGGGCAGCAGTAGGAAGTCCTCAGGAGAAACCGAGGACGGGAACCAGGCCGGATCCGAGCCTGCTGAGGGAATCTCAACATCTCCAAAGGAGGCTCATCAGAGAGTTCACAAAGGATCTGGGCCCCTCAGCTTCTGCAGTGTGCCCCTAGGACTGCTCTCTCACCAAGACTGCCCATGGGGGAAAAGATGTAGGTCCCCCAGAGGAAATTAGGTTGCTGCCAGAAAGGGGAATGGATCTTGGACAACCCCCCAAAATGTCAATTATCTATTTATATATAGAATCAGAACCAGACAACAAGATAAAATAAACAACAAATGTAGAATCCTACATTTAAGGTCAACTACATGTAAAACTTGGACAACCCCCCAAAATGTCAATTATCTATTTATATATAGAATCAGAACCAGACAACAACTGGCTAGATCTAACAAGATAAAATAAACAACAAATGTAGAATCCTACATTTAAGGTCAACTACATGTAAAAACATGAGGAAGACCTAGTAGATCAATATTGGGTAACATAATGATGTGGCTTCCAGAAACATTAATTCATTGTGAGGCCATATTAATGGAGGAGTAGAATCAAGGAAAGAGGAGGTGAAAGTTCAGCTTTATTTCCAACTGGGTTCATTTCTAAGAGTCATACTTTAAGGGGGACATTGTTGAGATGGTAAGAATCAAACAGAGGAGAGATGCCACAATGGTGAGAACCCAGAATCCCGTCCTACAAGGAAAGGCTGAAATAATTGAAAGTGTTTGGCCTGGAGAGAGAAGACACCAGAGAAAGGAGAAACCCTTTTACAATCCTGAAGGGGCTCCCACAAGGAAAAGAGTAGAGCTGGTCAGAAGTTATGGTGAAATGGGAAAAGCCCGCACCCTTTCCTGGAGTCAGGAGGACTCGATGTAGCCCCGCCATTTACCAGCTATTAGGGACTAGACACTCTGCCAACTGCAACATGTCAGACACACTGAGAGTTGAGTATTGCTTTTCTGTGAGAGCCAGAGGTAGGAAACCACTGGGTGGGAGATTTCAGCTCAACTCTGGGAAGAATATTCTTTCTTTTCCTTTTTTTTTGGTGGCTGGTCAGTACAAGGATCCAAATCCTTGACCTTAGTTGCTATAACATCACACTCTAACCAACTGAGCTAACCCGACTTTTTCTTTTTTTAAGTGAAATTTACAGTTTTTACCTCTGATCACAAAAGAAATACATGGTTGTATGTATAGAATATTGGTAAACAGAAAAGCAAAATTAGGTAAAAATCACATCAGCCACTATTTACCTTCTTTTTTTTTTTTTTTTTTTTTCCTTTTTGTTTTTTTTCGTGTCCGGCAACGGATCGCAACCCTCAGTGTCGCGCCCGTACCGGACCGGGGACCGGCAACCGGCAACGGGATCGCAACCCTCAGTGTTGCTCCCGCACCTCGCTCAGCCAGTGAGCGGCCGGTCTGTACGTGGGATCCGAACCCTCGGCGGGAGCGCCACTGCGCTCCCAAGCAGCGCACTGTAGCAGTGCGCCACCGGGCCGGCCCAGCCACTATTTATGTTCTAATATTTAAGTATGAAATGGATGGATGGACAGATAGATTGGTAGATATTAACAAAAAGGGGTCATACAAATAATTAACTCAGAATTAGAGTATAAGCATGTAAGGATGTATGTATTGGCATGTAAGGATGTTTACTGAAGTTTTGTTTCTAGTAGAAAAGAAAAAGTTGTAAGCCACTTGATTACCTATCAATAGGGGAATACTGGGAATGTTTGGGTAAATGACAGTACATCTCACCACGCAAAGTGTGGAGCTAATCAAGTATTGCCTTCAAAATGTTTCCAACATAGGGCTGGCCCAGTGGCGCACTGCTACAGTGCACCCCTTGGGAGCGTCAAGTATTGCCTTCAAAATGTTTCCAACATAGGGCTGGCCCAGTGGCGCACTGCTACAGTGCGCCCCTTGGGAGCGTGGCGGCGCTCCCGCCAAGGGTTCGGATCCCACATGCAGACTGGTTCCTGCTCACTGGCTGAGCGAGGTGTGGGCGCAACACCGAGGGTTGCGATCCCGTTGCCGGTCAGGTCCGGTACGGGCGCGACACTGAGGATTGCGATCCCCCTTGCCGGACACGAAAAAAAGACAAAAAGGAAAAAAAAAATGTTTCCAACATATATTTGCTTTTATTTTCTTTAAAGATGACCGGTAAGGGGATCTTAACACTTGACTTGGTGTTTCAGCACCACGCTCTCCCAAGTGAGCCATGGGCCGGCCCTTATATTTGCATTGTTTAAGGCAAAACAATGTTATAAAATAACATACATAGTGTGATCGCGTTTTTGTAAAAATATGTATGCATATGTGTGTTTTCATAAGCAAAGGATTGGTGCTAACAGTGGGTGCGTGTGTGGGACAGAGTTAGAATGGCCAGGGATAAGACAATTAACTCGTTCTTTGAACATTTCTGTGTTATGAGAATTGAGACAGTCAGCATATGTTCCTTTTATAATTCAAATGACTAAAATTTAAATAAATAACAACCTACCCTGGAAATTTCTCCATGCCATTAAAGGTTCTACATAATTTTTGATAACCACATGTATTTCTTGTGTGGGTTTTCCTTAACGGATTGAACCTCATGATGGATGTTTAGTACGTCAAGAGCTATCCAAAGAGGGACCTGGGGTATTTTGACAGTGTCTATCAGTCCTGCAAATGTGCAGACCCATAGATCTAACCATACCTCAGCTAGGAAATTATCTGATAGGATCATAGTGCATGTGCACAGAGATGTCTATGCAAGAATGGCCCCTGCCTCATTATTCCTGCCAGCAAAAGGCTAGAAACAACTTAAGTGTTCAACCACAGAGAACAGGCTAAATAAAAATGACCATATGCTAGAATTCTGAGCAGCAGACTCAAGAAATGAGGTAGATCTTTACATGAAAAATGTGCCAGGATTTATTGTAAAGTGAAGGAAAAAAAGGCAAGTTACAGAAACAATATGTACAGCATGATCTCATTTTTGTATAATATGTATGTGTAACTGCATTAAAAAAGATCTGAAGGATACCATCAAGCCGTAGGTAGGATTTACCCACAGGTTCAAGTATGCATGTATTCCTGTAAGGATATAGGTATATCCCTAGATAGATAAAAAGGCAGTGAGCTTCCCGTCCCATGAGGTATGCAAGCAGAGGCTGGCTGCCCGGTTTGCAGGGATGTTGTAGAGGGGACTTCCACGTCCCTCGGAGATGACCTCAGTTCCTCTCTGAGCCCTGAGACTCTCTGAGAGAGGGGAGGTCGGGACTGGGAGAAGAGTCCGCGCCTCGGGAAAGGGTTAAGCGGGGCTGGTGCTGCTGTGGGCGGGCCCGCGATCGGCAGCGCGGGGCTCTGCAGGCTCAGTCTGAGCACCCGGGAGGATGCGGCGCGGCCGCGGCTGCAGGGACGCGCGCAAGGTGAACGCGGGGCTGCGGCGCCCAGGTGAGGAGCTGGCCGGGGGCGGGGGCAGGCGGGGAGCAAGGCCTGCAGCCCCCTCGTGGGCGCGGGCCTCGAGGCCTGCTCGGCGCCCACCCCCGCCCGGGACACTGCGGAAAGGCGCGGAGCCAGGGAGAGAGGAGACTGAGGAGGAGGAGGAGGAGGAGAGGTAACCCGAGATGGACCAGCTCCCGGAGACTGCCCTGCGGAGGCCCTGCCCTGCCCCCAAGCCAGCCTCTCCCCAGTCCCTGCGCAGCGAGATCCCCCCCACCCCCACCTCATCCCGAAAATCTCTCAAGCAGTGGAACCCCGCGGCTGGGCGAATCCCCACCTCGTCCGTAGGTGCCCACAAATCTTGGTTTGGGGGGGTGGGGAGATGACATGTTTATCACTGAAGGCCCAATTCAGCCATCTCCTCTGCAAAGCTTTTCAGACCGCCTGTGCAAGATGAGCCACTGTAGGCTTCACAACCCCTAGTGTGTCCATTCAGCTGGCTGTGTGACCTTGGTCGAATTGCTGAACCTCTCTGAACCTCGGTTTCCTCCCCTGTGAAATGGGTATATCCACACCTGCTTGTACTGGGAGCTTAGCACAGGAGCCTACCGGGTAAGAACTCAACACAGGAGCACTACTGTTAACCAGTACCTGTATTAGGGGCCTCAGTCCTTCCCCCTCACCTCACCCTTACTCCCCAACCCTGGAGCTGAGGCCTCTCTGTGGGTCCCCAGCCTGGGCCAGAAGTAGAGCATGGGGCTCAGTGAATGTTTGTGCAATGAACTAACAAAGCTTTAAGGCAGAGTCTAAACTTAGGTTTGGGGAATAGTCCTAAGAGGTCTTTAAACCCGCTAGAATTGTCCACAAGCTTTGGTGAGCCCGGGCATTTTCCCAGGGAGAAACACCTGGAGTTTTCAGCGGCTTCTCAAGGTGTCTGTGAGTCACCAAGGGTTAGGAGCCAGGGAGCTTTGTGGACAGCTGCTTCCCAGAGAGGAAAAGAGCATGGCCTCTGCCCCCAAACACACCCAGGCCTCAGCATTCATAGCCACTGTGCCCCCTCTCCTGGTCTTGGAGTCCCTTCCTTCCTCCCTGGCCTACCTAGGGACTCTTGGGAACAGGAACCTAGAGGGAATATGGGGGCCAGGTGTATACAGGAGGTTGGAGGTATGAAATGAAAGAGGCGGGAGAGAAAATTACTCTCCCCCAGTGGGGGAGAGAAATTACTACACAATGTGACCAGTGTGGGGAGGGCCAAGGAGGAGGTACGGTACAGCAGGGTACTGAACTAAGAATTGCTAACCTTTTACCTCCAAAACAGCCATCCATGGTAGGATGAGCCCACATCTTCCCCCGGGGGACAAGTGTTACACCTCTGAGGGGACCAGAGGAATATGGCACTGAGCGCTGTGACATGTACATATAAGACTTTCAAAAAACAATGAACCAAAGTCTAACCTGACTGCTTCTTGAAATTAAAAAAAGTGCTTCCCCAACATCTCAACCCTGGAAGATCAACAAGATAGAGGGGTACTGAACAGATTCACTACCACTGAAAATCTAAAAGGCTGCCTTGGAAGAGGAACCAGGCTTCCCCTCCACCTCTCTAAAGCCCCAGAGGGCAAAACTAGGGTGAATGGGCAGAAGGTGCCAGGAACAAGATCTCAGGTCTATAGAATTATCTTTTTTTGTTTGTTTGTTTTTGTATTTTTAACAATTAGAACTGCCCAGTAATGAAGTGAGCCTTCCCAGGAGGTGGGCAGCTTCCCGTCTCTAGATGACCGTCTATCTGGTATGTCATGGTGCAGAATCCAACATGAAACAGTGTTGGACGAGATGGTCTCTAGGAGCTCTTTCTGTCCTGAGAAGCAAAGATCTGATGACAAATTCATTCAGCACAGATTTTCTAAGAACCCACCCCAGGTAAAGCGCTGTGCAAGCTGCTGAGGAGAAGGCCAAAAAGGAAAAAAAAAGTGGTCCTACCACTGGGAATTCTACCATGCAGTTGGGAAAACAAGTTGAACACACACAGCATTTAACAGTGCAAGGCAACAAGTACCACAAAGGCCCAGGAGGTGGAAAAAAAGGCTGGCAGGCTCAGGGGTGGAGGTTAAGCTGGCCTTGGAGAATGGGTTGAAGGGAGATTTACAGTTTAAATGAACATGGAGTGGGGGATAAACAAGGCATGTTTTGGCAGGGAGGATGTAAGGACGGCAATCTGAATAGTTATGGTGAAAACAGGCTGTGAGATGCCTTGAATACCAGGAGGAAATTTAAACTCTGAACTGTGAACGGTGGGGAGGGAGGCAGTGGATGTTTTCTGAACACAAAGACGAATGATTAAATCAATGTCTTGGGCCGGCCCGTGGCTCACTCGGGAGAGTGTGGTGCTCATAACACCAAGGCCACGGGTTCAGATCCCTATACAGGGATGGCCAGTTACTCACTTGGGAGAGCGTGGTGCTGACAACACCAAGTCAAGGGTTAAGATCCCCTTACCGGTCATCTTTAAAAAAAAAAAAAATTAAATGTAACACGGATGTATTTAGTGCAGTGATTCTCCAACTCTGGCAAATCACTGGAGGAGCTTTTAGAAAATTCCAGTATCCAGGGCCAGCCCGTGGCTCACTCGGGAGAGTGTGGTGCTCATAACACCAAGGCCACGGGTTCAGATCCCTATACAGGGATGGCCAGTTACTCACTTGGGAGAGCGTGGTGCTGACAACACCAAGTCAAGGGTTAAGATCCCCTTACCGGTCATCTTTAAAAAAAAAAAGAAAATTCCAGTATCCAGGCCACATCCCAAGAAATTGTGATTCCTTGGTCTCCAGGTGATTCTAATATGCAGCTAGAGTTGAGAACTGCTGGGGTATTACTTTCCTAATAGTATCATTAATAAAAATGATAGCTTGCATCTATTTAGCACTTATTGGGTGCTGGGCATGATGCTAAACATTTCATCCTCTCCACAACCCAATGAGGTAGGTGCTGTTCCCATCTCTATTTTACAGATGTGCTTGGAAAGTTAAAATAACTTGCCCACCACACTAGAGAATGGTGGAAAATCAAAAGCACTTTTCAAAGGGCTATTTTAATATTGTTATTATTGCAGATGAAGCCGAGGAGTGGCCGGGGCGCCCCCAAAGCCATCCCCCAGCACCCCCAGTCCAGGCCCCCTCGACGTCACGCCGGGGCCTCATTCGAGTCACTACGCAGCGAGCCCTGGGCCAGCCTCCCCCTCCGGAGCCCTCAGCCAGCTCCATGGCTTCAGCCCCAGCCTCCAGCCCCCCAGCCAACGCGACCGCACCTCCCCTGCGCTGGGGGCCCCTGCGGCGGGTGCTGAGCTTTTCCTGGGAGCTGCACGTCTACGGGGTGGGGGTGCTTTTCCTGTTGCCTGCGTTGTTGGCACTGGCCATGCTGGCAGCCGCCCCTGCGGGGCCCCGGCTAGCACTGGTGGCCGCAGTGCTGGTGCTCGTGGCTTCGGGGCTGCGATCTGCCTACATGCTCACCGACCCTTACGGTTCGCAGGCGCGCCTTGGCGTCCGCGCCGGCCTGGTGCTGTACAATCTGCCCTTCCCCTTGCTGCTCACGGCGCTGGCCGCCCTAAGCCTGCTCGGCCTGGGCGCGGGGCTGCCACAGCAGCTGCAGAACCCTCTCCTGCTGGGAGCTTTGGCGTTGGTGCACTGCGTGGGGCTGCTCGCTACACTTCCTAGGCCACTTGAGGACTCACAAACCCACCTGATCCTAGGAGCCCACCCCAATGGCCCTGTAGGGTCAGAGCCCCATGACTTTGACTTCCTCTGGGAGAGCCCTAGAGATGAGAACCCCAGGAACTCTA